TCCTGCTCTCGCTATGTCTCTCTCTGTCAAATAAATAAATAAGAAATAAAAAAATAAAAATTTTCCTAACGGTCAGGGTGCCTGGCTGGCTCAGTTGTTAGAGCATTCAACTCTTGATCTTGGGGTTGTAGTTTCAAGCCCCATGCTGGGTGTGGAGATTACTTAAAAATAAAATCTTGAAAAAAAACATTATCCTAAGGGTCAGTGTAACTTAGTTTTACAAATAATCAAAGACTCAACTAGATTATCAAATTTCCCAGGAGAAGATAAGACTCTGCACATTATCATTAATGATTCACCCACAAGAGTCCCCAGGCCTGCATACCTGGGGTGGTCCTCCCTGGAGGATAAGTAATTCTCGGACTGCTAATGGTTGATACACTTGATCCAAGATGTCTCTCAAGGCCTCCCTAGATAGCGTTCTTTCCTCTTCTGTTAAAACCTAAAAGAAATATGTACTTGGCTTTAGCAGGCAATAGAAGGTAATGTTTACAATCCTGTACAAAAACACTGATGAGAGGACAGGAGAGCAGGCTTCTTTCGCCTCTTGACTCCCTTCCACCTGGAGGAAGTATTAATACTAAAATGCTCCTGGCCCCCTCTGCATCCCCTCACTCACTTCTGGGCAGGAGATCTAAGGCACTTACCTTATTGGTGAGTTTGGAATAAACTTACTTACTGGTGAGTGTTGGCATGTACAACTTGGCTCATTCCTCTTCTACGTCTTGGGAGCAAGTGCATGTTCTGCTCTGCTCTTCCTTGCTGTAGATTTTACAGAGGCATATCCCTTGCCACGGGGGAGCAGAAGGTGCTGCAGTTTTCCAGCACTCCTTAAAACTGGGTGAGTAGTAAGCGTGTGTAGCTCTGGAATGCACTGTTAGGAAACCCAACTGTCTCCATCAATAAGCTATATCCCCAACTTTGCACTTAGGCGCAATAGAGATGACATTTTGAGTTTTTATCTCACTTCATCGGTTAGCTTTTAACTCATTCAGAAGCTGGGCAGCAAAGAGGGGTGCTATTTGTTGGGTCCCCTTGAACCTCAACAGTACTGCTCCCCTCAGTAACTCGGTAAAGCAGTCAGGATTGTGCCCATTACCATTTAGCAATGTGAAGCACATGCGCTGCTTAGAGCAGCTCGTAATGCTGGGACTTGCCCAGCTGCAAAACATGCACCCCCTGTGTTTCCCCTTCTGTCAACTTCTCTTGCCTTTCTACTTGGTCCTTTCTCTGTGCTTCCCTTTTCTCCCTCCTGCTCGACACTCTGGGGCACTGCTTAGGTAAGAGTAATAAGACCTGTGAACCCCCCCATCTCAGAGAACTGCAGGCAGTAGGCACGGATAGAAATGCCAAGACTCACACCCTGTAGTAAAGAGCACAGTGCCCTGCTCCCCGTAACATGATGCCACTGGGGGAGCTCATAATTTCATGTCACTGCTCGGATGATAGAAGCTTTTAGACAAATGTTTGTGAACATACGCAGGAAAGAAAAAAGAAAAGAGAGCAAACATGATAGAAGCTTTTAGACAAATGTTTGTGAACATACGCAGGAAAGAAGAAAAGAGAGCAAACAGAAAAGACACAAGATTAAAGGGTGACACAGAGAGGTGACAGAGAAATGCGGTGGGTGGGCATTATGAATCTGGCTGCAGGGGCTAAGGAATTAGCCCACATCCGAGACACACTGACCTTCGATACAATTATATCTTAACAACTTCTTCTGGCTAGGCTCCTATGCTGATGCTGGTGGTCTTCTCATGAGGGACTAGTGGCCCCTGCTATGTTGTCTTGTCTCTTCAGTTAATGTCTTAGGCTTCTGTAACCTCCATAGCACCTTTACAATCCAGGTACTCAAATCCTTACTATGTCAGCAAAAAAACAGGCCAATACCCCTAACAGCTAATAATAACAATGAACACTGATTGAATTATGCAGTGTACCCAGTGCTTTACCTACTTCATTTCATTTAATCTTCCCAAGAACTTAATGAAGGAGAGATGAATAGTTTAAAACTAATATTAGTAGTAATTACTTTCTGATGAGCACTACTGCGGATTGGGCTAGGTACTTTACACACATTATCCTTAATCCTCACAACCACCTTCCAAGGCAGGTATCATTACACACATTTTATTAAAAAAGAAACAGAGGCAAAAAAGAGAGAGAGAGAAAGAAAGAAAAGAAACAGACTCAAAGAAAGAGCCTGCAATACTTGTCACAAAATGACAAGAAGAAACAGGCGAAATGGACTCTAAGCGTGCTAAGGACCAGCATCTAATAAATGAAGCTCCAGCCATCTAAAAAGATTCATTTATCCGCTAGATATGCTTTGGCATTCAACAAGAATTCTAGGTCTTTCTAGCGACCCTTTTCCAAAGAACTAAGAGCCATCTTTTACAACCACACATACAAATATACACACATTCACAAAGACACACACACACTCAGTGTGTGTTTACCTCTTCCTCAGGCTTTAGTGGGCTTCTCTTGGTTGGACAGAATCCCAGCTGGCACAGACCTGCAGCAATATCCCCAAAATGGCGGCAGAAAATCAAGCTCCCCAGAGATGTGTGACGTGCAACATTTAGAAGAACCCTGCAGCTGCTGTACAGCCTCCGGGTCGCATGAGGAGGAGCATCGAGACACACCACATCCTGAACAATGGCCCCAAACTCAGTTCTGCATCTCAAAGGGACTCCAACTCCAGGCACGAGATAGGGGCAAACACCCAAGGTGACTACAAACTGCAAGGCTGACTGGACAGTCTTCTGCTGGGAGATACTAAGTGTATCTGGGCTCAGGGCAGGAGCAGCTTCCGGAGTCCTCAGGTTGGGTTTGCCTGGATTGAAATCAGCTGCAAGGTGGATCATGGTTTCCTTCAAGCACAACAGCAACAATAAGGCTTGAGAGGTAAAACTCCAGGTGACATCCACAGAGTTTTGTGGCCATTCTGCCTTATTAGCAATTTCATCCCTTAGGAATTTGAGTTTCTTCCAGCGAGGATCCTTCAGCAATTTGTCCTCCAAAGCAGACAGGTTAGAATTTAAAGTAACCAACAGGACATCATGTTTTGTGATCTGTAGTGAACCTGAGTCCGATCCTTTTGAAGGGAAAAAAAAAAAAAAAAAACGGATCACATACATGGGAAACAAACTGTACTTCTCTCTGTGTGGAATGCCTTACCCACTCCAGCTCACTCTGGGGCCTGGCCCAGATGTCATTGCCCCTGGAAAGCCTGTCCCAGTTGTGCCACCCAAACATAGCCAGAAATCAAGACCACATTGTCTGCCTTCCCAAAGTACTTTGGGATGAGGTTAGAATGATGTACCTAACGCATTATACTTCATCTAGTTTGTTTCTATTCCCCATGCGTTCTGAGGGCAGAGGCCATGTCTGGTCATCTTACTGGGCTTGAATTATAGCCAGAACTGAAAAATAAAAGGCTGAATATTTACCACAGAAGATTCATTCAAACTGTTCTAGGTGCCAGGGATAAAGCACTGAACAAAACAAAGTCCCTTCCCTCATGGGACTTATATTCTAGTGCGGCAGATCACAAAATACAGCCCTAGGTTCAGAGGGATTCATTTAACCACTTTTTCCCGACAAAATATCTATTTTCAATTCCTACCCCCGACCCTTCCTAAAATGGTCTTTTCTGCCCTCTACTGGTGAAGGAGCCTTAAATGCTCACAACAACTCCCTCCTTGAAACACACCCATCTCTCAAGGGCCTCAAGGGCCTCAAGGGCCTCAAGGGCCTCAAGGGCCTCAAGGGCCTCAAGGGCCATCCCTCCAAGTGCCTCCACTGCCGGCTCCTTCTCCACCAGGGCTTCTCCTGAATTCTGCACCCTCTTCCTCGAGGATCTTCTCCAGGCCCATGTCTCTAAAAACCACCTATAAGCTACCAACTACGAACTTTGTATCCCCAGCCCATGTTGACCCTCTATCAGCTGCAAGGTGGATCATGGTTTAAGTAAAAAACATGGGATAAGTAAAAAGAAAATCACATTATAGTCAATTGTTAAAACCAGAGAGACAGAAAAAATCTTGGAAGCAGCCAGAAAAATATGAAGCACTATATATGAGGGATGGTGCTGTAAATGACTGTGAACTTATGAACAACGACTGCTACAAGATGGTAGAAAAACATCTTTAAAATACTGAGGGGCACCTGGGTGACTCAGTCAGTTAAGTGTCCAACTCTTGATTTCGGCTCATGTCATGATCTCAGGGTCATCATCTCAGGGTCGTGAAAAGGAGCCCCGTGTCGGGCCCCTCTCTGGGTATGAAGCCTGCTCAAGGTTTTCTCTCCACCAGGGCACCTGGGTGGCTCCATCAGTTAAGCGATAGACTCTTGGTTTTGGCTCAGGTTGTGATCTCAGGGTTGTGAGATCGAGCCCGGCATCAGGCTTCATGCTCAGCATGGAGTCTACTTGTCCCTCTCCCTCTGCCCCTTCCACCGCCCTCTCTCTCTCTCAAATAAATAATAAAATCTTAAAAAAAAAAAAAAAAAAAGATTCTCTCTCTCCCTTTGCCCCTCCCCCACTGCTTATGACACTTTCTCAAAAAAAATAAAATACTGACATAAGAAATAAAATGTCAACTCGGAATTCTAGATCTAGTAAAAATAACCTTCAAAAATGAAAATAAAGACATTTTGGATCAAGGAAAACCAAGAGAACTGTCAGCAGGCCTGCACTACAAACAAATGGTAAAGGAAATTCTTCAAGCTGAAGGAAAATAATACTAGATGGAAACTGGGATCTTCAGGAAGGAATGAAGAACATCAGAAATGGGGGCGCCTGGGTGGCTCAGTCGGTTAAGCGACTGCCTTCGGCTCAGGTCATGATCCTGGAGTCCCGGGATCGAGTCCCGCATCGGGCTCTCTGCTCGGCGGGGGGTCTGCTTCTCCCTCTGACCCTCCCCCCTCTCATTCTCTCTTTCAAATAAATAAATAAATAAATAAAAATTAAAAAAAAAAAGAGTATTAGAACATCAGAAATGGTAAATATGTAGGTAAATATAAAAGACTAATTTTTCTCTTAATTTCTTCAAATACATATGTCTAAGGCAAAATCTATAAAATGGGATTTATAACTTCTATAGATATAATAAACATGAAAATCATAGTAGCATAGAGGCGCTTGAGTGGCTCAGTTGGTTAAGTGTCTACCTTTAGCTCAGGTCATGATCTCGGGGTCCTGGGATCGAGCCTCACACCTGGCTCTCTGCTCAACGGGGAGTTTGCTTCTCCCTCTCACTTTCCCTCTCCCTCTGTGCTCTCTCTCTCTCAAATATATAAATTAAATCTCTAAAAAAAAATCATAGCATAAAGCCCAAGTGGGGTTATGGGAGCTATAAAATGACCCTTAGGGGCACCTGGGTGGCTCAGTTGGTTAGGCTTTCAGCTCAGGTCATGATCCTGAACGTCTATCATATGCTACCTTTTGTGTAAGAAAGGAAACAAATATAAAATACATTATTTGCTTTTATTGTCCAAAAGGCAGTGAAAGAACAAATTAAAAAGTAAAATGAGTTATGTACAGAGAGAACAGTGGAGTGGTGAGGAGGAACAAATTAAAAAGTAAAATGAGTTATGTACAGAGAGAACAGTGGGGAAGAGCTAGGGACAAAGTTATCCAGTGTTAGAGTTTTTGTTTTGGAACCCTATATATGTTTTTCATAGTTAAAAAAATTAAAATTTTTTTCAAAATAATTCCTAAAAATCAAAAACATACAAATGGATCCAATAACTCTGTACTTCGGCTCAGGTCATGATCCCGGGGTCCTGGAGTTGAGTCCCACATCAGACTCTGCTCAGCGGGGAGCCTGCTTCTCCCTCTCCCTCTTCATTCCCCCTGCCTGTGCTCTCCTGCTTGTTGTCAAATGAATAAATAAATAGAATCTTTAAAAAAATAAATAAAATGACCCTTATAGTTGCAAGGTTCGTAACTGTTACGTGAGGTAGTATCAATATTAATTCTAATTAAAAATTAGAAAAATTAAGGACTTGTATTGTGATTCCAGGACAACTACTAAAAATATAATGCAAAACGGAGGGTTATGGTTAGAAAACCATAATAAAATGTTGACAATGTAAATGAATACAAGAAGTAACACACTTCAAAACTAAACTTAAAACACCTTCTAAGAAACAAATTAGAAAAGATTAAAATGGAATGATAACTAAATGAGCACTCAGCAGGGGCGCCTGGGTGGCTCAGTCGTTAAGTGCCTGCCTTTGGCTCAGGTCATGATCCCAGGGTCCTGGGATCCAGCCCCACATTGGGCTCCCTGCTCGGCGGGAAGCCTGCTTCTCTCTCTCCCACTCCCCCTGCTTGCGTTCCCTCTCTCACGTTCTCTCTCTCTCTGTCAAATAAATAAAAATAAAATCTTTAAAAAAAAAATCAAAGAGTGCTCAGCAGTGCATTACTTATAATAATGTAAAATAAGAAATATATATTCAGTAACAGGAGATGGATGAGTAAATAACCGTCTACCTGTACCTAACATACTATATGTAAGTGTAGTATTTTATTATTTATTATCTCTTCACCAACTAGAATAAAAGCTGTTTGAGGACAGGAATGTTGCTCTGTTTTGTTCATTGTTGTATTCTCCTTGCCTGGAACAAGGCCTGTCAGATAATGTAGTATTTGTTCAAACTAGGTAGTAGTTGAATGAATGAATAATGGAATATTTGTCGCCATTAAGTTATGTCAAGGGGCGCCTGGCTGGCTCAGTTGGTACAGCATCTGACTCTTGATCTTGGGGTGATAAGTTCGAGCCCCACATTAAAAAAAAAAAAGCTTCATTGAATATTATTTAATGACATGTTCATTAAGTACATTCTAAAGTGAACAGAGGGGTGGGACACCTGGGTGGCTCAGTGGGTTAAGCATCTGCCTCCAGCTCAGGTCATGGTCCCAGGGTCCTGGGATCAAGTGCCATGTCGAGCTCCTTGCTCAGCGGGGAGCCTGTTTCTCCCTCTGTCTGCTGCTCCCCCTGTTTGTGCGCTTTCTCTCTCTCTGTCAAATAAATAAATAAAATCTTCAAAAAAAAATAAAGTGAACAGTGTATGAAATACTATATGGGCAAAAGATACAAACACTACAGAAAAAGAAATGCAAATGACTTCTAAACATAAAAATATGATCAACCTTGCTCGTCACAGAAAAGTAAATTAAAACTATACTGAAATAGCACTTCCCATTTATCAACTGGCTAAAATCCAAAAGTTTTGTAACACATTATGTGGCAAGGTTTTGGGAAAGCACGCACTGTCATACATTGCTGGAAGAAACGAAAATGGTAACATTCTTGAAGAGAGCAATTTGGCAACATCTAGCAAAATTACATACGTATTTAACGTTTGGCCCAGCAATCCCGCTTTTTAGGAATCTATCTTACAGATAAATACACAGGCAAAAATGCAAAATGACATATACACAAGGGTATTCATTGTAGTGCTTCTTGTATTTACAAAACACCTGAGGGGCGCCTGGGTGGCTCAGTGGTTAAGCGTCTGCCTTCAGCTCAGGTCACGATCGAGCCCCGCATCGGGCTCCCTGCTCTGCGAGAAGCCTGCTTCTCCCTCTCCCACTCCCCCTGCTTGTGTTCCCTCTTCCATTGTGTCTCTCTCTCAAATAAATAAATAAAATCTTTAAAACAAAACAAAACACCTGAGACAACCCACATGTCCATTAAAAGAGAACTGACTGAATAAACAATAGTATATCCAGATAATGGCATGCTTCTAAAAGAGGAAAATTGCTGTGAACCACTATGTAGTAATCTCTAAGACATATTAAATATTAAAAGTAAGGTATAAAAGAATGTCTATCATATGCTACCTTTTGTGTAAGAAAGGAAACAAATATAAAATACATTATTTGCTTTTATTGTCCAAAAGGCAGTGAAAGAACAAATTAA